AATACATGTTTTTGCACTCTCCAAATCCCGATTTTTATTAGTAGACAGACGATAAAATTAATCTGAACGGACAGGTTAAAATTATTTCGTAGAAAGAGAGATTGTTTTAAACAATTTATTTTGTAAAATATAATCGAATATATGCCTAATAAAATATTCGTTTTTACTGCAGCTGTTATATATTATCGAGCTAATAAGTCATTCGCTCGCTATAGTATCAAAGTAGAGATCTTAAATAAAAAACATTTTAAGGATAGTGGGAAGGGGGGACGGCAGAACTGGAAAATTTTATCACAATTCTTATAAACGTATCAATATTTTCATTTTCCTTAAGAATAATATTTTTCAACCATTAGCGCCATCTACTTTTTTCTTCAATTTTTGGTAAAAATGTATATTTTGGAAATTCGATAGCGTCGCCAAGGTTTTGACATCGTATATATATTTATAAAAGATGTCTAAATAAAAAGCAAAAAAAAATTCGAAAACAAACTCACTATTTTGCTTAAAAATACAGGTAAAGCAATTTAGATAAACCGGATATTAAAAGCCTATAATGGCGCCAATATTTATTTTTCTTTGTAAGCCCATTAAAGAATTTCTTTACCTACAAAATGATATATTATAATTTTTTTACTATAAATAGTAATTGAAATATAAGCATTTTAAAAATTTTACAAATTCCAACGTGGCTCTTTTTCGTACCTTTGAGCCCCTATATCTCGAGAACCAGGTGTGATAGCTAGCTAAAATAAACGGCTTTCTCATTCTTTTACCTATCTAAATAATTCCAAAAATTTTTATCAATTTTAAAAGGGGTCGGCCGAAAATTGGCCTTTTTTGATCGATTTGACATGAAATGGCCCATATGTTATATGGGCAAATATTTTTATAATAAATTATAAATAAAGTAATAAATTGAATTTCTTTTATCGATAGACAATTTCTATAATTGAATGAAAGCTCCATTTATTGTTATTTTCACTTACAAGATGAATAATCCTTTAAATTATATCAAATAATTCAAAAAAACTATTGCTGTGCCGATATTAAATATCGGATCAGATCGGTACCGATATTTAGCGTTTTCCAAAAATATCGGATCGGCCCGAATCTGTATAAACCCGATCCGATTTTTTTACTAAAAATGCAATTCTTAAAACTTTTGAGTTATGAAACTTTCAATTATTTATTATTACATCATATTTATTATTTTTTTAATAAAAAATTGTTTTTAAAAATATTTAAAAAAATAATTAAAAAAAAAATAAATTTTTCGGAGTTTCAGTGAGTTTCTATTTTACATTAATAATATTTTCTAAATATTTTTTTTTAAACAATGCAAATGTTATTTATTTTTTTAAAAAGATTTTAAAAGTTTTTTTAAAAAAATAGAAAGGAACATTCAAAGTTTTATTATTTATACTTTAAATAAAAGAATTATTTTAAATATGGCTTCTGAATTATGGAAATATTTTGATAAAGATAAAGAGAATTTTGATTTCACGGGGGAGGAATAAGGAAAAATTCATTTAATACAATATATTCGGAAACATTTAAAGCGATTCCATTAAATGGAATTTGAAGAGCTAATACAAAAAGAACGAGATATTTGAAAAAACAAATCAAATTTTTTAAAAAAAGAGCCATGAAAGCCAGCCAACCATATCAGCCATTTTTAATAAAACTAATATTTGGAAATATTCTGATCCTTTGCCTGAAAATCTAGAGGCTCTTATATTTATTTAAAAAAATCTAATATATTATAATTTTATATGTTAAATTTACAATTTTATAAACCAACATAAAATGGATATATTATTATATTTATTTTATCTATTATAATATAATTTTTTTAAATTATAGTTGAAATAAAAAAATTAAATTAAATCATAATTCTTTTGCATAAAAAATATTAATGTCTTCATTACATTTGGTTCAAAGAGGGGTGGTGAAAAATCAATATATATATCGGATAGGTTTTGAACCAATATCGGATTGAACCGGTGAAAAATATGTGGATCGACACAGCCCTAAAAAAACCATTAAAAAATAATTAATATATAATTTTATACAAAAAAATATTTATACACTTTTCTAAACATTTTTATCGATTTTGAGAATGAAGATGGCCGCGTCCCAGACCAATTTTTTTTATAAATATAAAGGAAGAGTTTAGTAATTTCTACTAAATTTTTTAAATAAATTGAAGGTCGTATTATTTCCAAAAAATCGTTTTTAGTCATTATATATTAAATAAAATGGCTGGAAATTGGGAAAAATTTTTTTTTTTCAAAAAGTAGGATCTTTGTATGTAATTTTGATATTAAATTTGTTATTTACATGTAATTTTTAAGATATGCTTTGAATGAAGACAAATAATTGTAAAAATACGTCATTTTTGCCACTTTAAACCCTAATATCTTCAAAAATACAAATGTTAGGAGCAGGAATGTGAACCCTTCGACAAAAAAAGCGTCCGGGTTCAGGTACAGGAATAAAATTTGAAAGGACCAGGGTTCGGGTCTGGGTTAGGGAACATAAAAATAATGATTCAAAATAAGATTTTTTTTCATTCATTTATTATACATATTCATAATTTACTAATGAAAAATTTAAAAATGAAATAATTTATATTTTAAATGTTTTATTCTCGCACAATCATAATATCTTCTAAAATATCATCCTTGAGATTCCACCTAAGGTAGACAATATATATTTCAAAGATGAAAATTCACGTTCTACCCCTTACCTAAAATAGATTTATAAAATTATTGTACTTGTGTCGCCGGACAGCCATGAAGATTCTAGATAAGATATATAATTCTGGATATATTGAAGAATTTTCTTCCCAGAATTTTAAAATATTTATATCCTTATTTATTCTCTTAACTTCTAAGACCTTTACTAAGATGCAACAGGCATTTTTTGATCCTCCTTTCTATCTGTTGATAATTTGATTTTCTTTTCTCTCTATCTAAAAGTAAAATTTCAAGATCATCAATGTTGCTATCATTATTATTATTATCACTACAACCAGTAGGTATTGTCGTAGCCTTCAATATATTGTAAATAAAGGGGTTTTGCTTATGCCATAAATCCTTAAAATGTCTTTAGCCATTTGTTTTTGCTAAATATTCAATAAAACTTGATATCGAGGGTCTAAATATATAGAAGCGTATATAACACTATTTTGAAAATATGGTTGCTCTCGAATTTTCATGTTTTCTAATATTTCGTATAAAAAGGACTGTAAATTTTTATAAATCTATCGGCATCTAATCCATATGCCTTAAAATCAAATAAACATAATTGTTCTGATTGTAATCTTAATATTGTTATTTTTAAAGGAACTAATACACTAGTAAGGTCCTTTATTATGCACCATCTTCCGACAAAATGACTTTACATGCTCCTATAATAAAATCATTACAGAAATCTTTCAAACTTAATAATCGTTCTAGCATCATACAAATTGAGGACCAACGTGTTATGCATTATCATTTAAATTAAAATATTATTACTTGTACTACAAAATATTCACTTTCAAAATAATCAACGTATTTCTATAATATTAATAAATTTACATAATAAAATATTAATACACTGGAAAATTATGATATCAATCTCTAAATAAAATGGAAGTCCAGGAAGAAAATTGAAAGAAAAACGCCAAGATAAAATAAATGATTCCATAAAATAAAGCTAATAAAATTTAAAGAAATTTATATTATTTTTTAAAAAAATATTTTTATTTTTAAAAATTTTTATGACACCCTTGGACTCTCTACTTTTAAAAAGGGTTTGGCTTCGGGTTCAACCAAAATACGAGGTTTCGGGTTCACATCCCTGGTTAGGATACTAAAATTTTGGATATTAGTTACATTAACATTTCTTTGCTTACCAAATTTTAAAAAAAATCGAAAGGGGTCGGCCGAATCGTGGTTGATTTGTCATGGAATGACCCAGATCCAAGATTAGTAGCTTCAACTGGGAAACATTTAAAAGTAATTTATCAAACAAATTTGGTTCCCATTAAATCGCTAAAAACAAAAAATTGGGAATCTCGCTCATATCTCCTAGAAAACTTTTAAAGTTAATTTGAAATAAATATTTATAGATGCTAGGAAAGTAAACACTTGTATTTAAATTGAGTTTTTTAAAATCCGCTAAAAATGAGGAAAATAATATCATTAATATTCTCAAATGCTGTTCCCAATTATGGGAAAAATGATAATATTTTTTCCATTTTTAGCTATTTTTATAAATGCAATTTCAATACAAGTATTCTTCCTAGCATCTATTAATATTATTTTCAATATTACTTTTAAAATTTTCGAGGAGGTATAAGCGACCAATTTTTAGCGGTTTGGAGTGTACAGCCCAATCCTAAATCTTTAAATAAAATTTAAAACAAAGCTGTCTGTATCTGTAATAGTTTTTGAGCTAGCTGAGTTTATGTGAAAGTCGATTTTCTAGCTCAACATGGTATGCTTCAACTGACCATAAGATAGTATACAAGAATTATATTTATAAATTAATAATTATGATAAATAATTAATATTAACATTTCATTTTATCGGTTTTTCTTATATAAAAAAAATGTATATTTAGTTTATTACTGCATTGCATGTTAGTGTTGAACGATTATTTAGGCATGCTTATATTTTCTGATCGTTGCTCTAGACTTGGGGATGACAATGGAAATGTCATTATTATTGAGATGCAATAAAAAAAATTATATAAGATTTGAAATTTTAGTCATATTTTTATTTGTGGAAATTAGGCCTATTCAAAAACGAATTAGAATCGAATAATTTACTATTTGAATTCGTACGAATAATAAAATCTACTAATTCGAATAATTCGAATTAATTTTTTTAATAAAATAAATCATACTCAAATATATTGACAAATATTTTTATTACAAATTTGATTTTAAACAGAAAAAATAATAATATGTAATCAATAATCTGATAATAAATAATATATAATCAAGTTATAAACAAAATTAAAATATATATTATTAATTTAATTTATAATTTAAGCCAATTTTTAAGGAAAAGAGTTTTTCTTATATTTTCTTCCTTATATGACATGCGGTTTTTTGACAATAAATTAGTTCCAACTGAGAAAAGCCTTTCACAAGCAGTTGATGTTCCTTGTATAGATAGATAATCTCTTGCCATTTTCGAGAGTATGGGGATCCGATATGCATTTGCCTTCCATCACATTAACGGGTCAGTATCACTCTTTGCTCTTGGTTCACTCAGATAAAAATCTATTTCACACAGTTGGATATTATTTTGTTTAAAAACAATGTCTAGCCTGTTTTGTTGAATTTTATCCTTATTTGTTTGACAGTTATAATTATGAGCTTATAAAATAAAATCATATTTAAATGGAGGTAAATTAAATACCTGTATATCTATTGTAAATCTCATTAAATTTGTCCATTAACTTGGATATATCAATATCATAATCAACAGATATTGATTTAAAATATTATACTTTAAGCCTGGGATCTAATATTGTGGTTATTATTGCATCATCGGCAGTTAAATTATAATAGCCCAACAATTTATCACATGCTACTTTGAAACTATTGTTAAAGGATTTATGGAAACCAGGTTTTTCATTTTTTAGATGTTCAAGAATTAAAATATAATAAGGTATGACCAAATTATAAGTAGGATAATTCTCCCCACATACCATATTTGTAGTTTCATATAAAGGCAATAGTATAGCTTTAATTTTTCTAAGATCCTCCCATTCTTCCTATATGTTATCAAAGTATTATATTATTACCTAATTATAAATTTTAGTTTACCTCTGATATTTGTTTTTCTTGAAGAATTTTAATGTTAGTTATTACTTCATTAACTAATTTTGTTATAGCTTTAACAATAAGCCCCTTTCAATCATTTGATAGGTGCTATTCCACCTTATTTCACAATCCAATTTTGGTTTTAAAAAATTTAGGGGAGGATGTAGGGAACTACATATATTTTTTAATAAATTTAATTTTTGAGGGGAATTACGAATCATTCTAATAATGTTTCTTAGTTTTAGAATTGAAGGGTCTAAAATTTTGAAAATTTCTTTGGATATTAAATTAATTACATGGGCAAAGCATCGGATGTCCCCTATTTTTATTAAGGGATATTTTAAAGAAAATGTATCAATAAATGTTTTATTATTAGTTGCATTATCTAAAGTTATATAAAAAATTTTATTCTCTAAATTATAATTTTTTATTATTTTGACAAAGGCTTTAAAACAATTACTTTATAGTTCATTATTTAATAATAATTTATAAAAGCCTTATAATAATTTATAGCATTTATACTTTTAATTAAATGTGTTATTTTATACCAAATAAAGTTTAAAAAAAGAAAGAAATATAATTGAATTGAATTTGATATAAAGTTCTAAAATGTTATATAGTATTTTTATAAATATTATATAATGAATGTAATTTTTAAATTATTTTGTATTTGAAAAATATATAATAATACTATTAAAAAAAAGAACGGAGATGGTGTGACGCAGGGGAACAAAAATGAAAAAGGGACGTAAGCGTTGTCTATGATAGCTCTTTGGCTAGAAGGCTACCATTGAAACTGATATAATTAGCTTTGTGAATCGCTATGGATAATCGTTGACGAAGAAAAAAACCCTCTCGAGATTCTTCTGAGAGTTTGCTGATTTGTGATCCTAATTTTTTGAAAAATGCTAAGGCGAGTTTGCCGAAGGTGCCAAGAGTGGTTGATATGATTGGGATGAAGCAATGATCGTTTATTATTTCTGTGTATTTAGAAATTTTAAGTTGTTCCTTCTGGTCAAGGATGTTGATGGCGTGGTTGGATGGGGCCAAGGGGTCAATACAGGAATAGTCCCATACCAAAAGTTGGCCTCTCCTATGGGATTTGAGCCATCAGGACGTTTACCATCAGATCTAAAAAGACCAAGTGGTTCTAACGTGGAAGGAATTTGGGCGGATTTCAGAGCATGTTGGATGATTGTATTACATTGCTTGTGTCTGATGAATCGTCCATTGCAGGAACGACAATGTAAACTATGTCTACCCTTCGAGTCAACTGGCGAGTTGCACCCTGAGCAGATGTGGGGGTGAGTGATGGAACAATTTAGACGAATGCCGATGGCATGGGTAAATTCATTGTTGGATAGTTGAAGCTGAAGATTGGTAGATGGGATGGCCTCAAGAAACTCATGTCCCGTACCATTGAGCAGGGAAGAGAATAGGGTGCGGTCGGTAGATTGCATGCTAGATAAGAGAGTTTCAACGCAGCGAGCAACCACTGGTGCATCCCAGTCTTTCTGTTTATGGGTTGTGGGGGGATGAGAATCAGCATTGATCCTTGTTTTCCAAATATCCATAGCCACGATTAAGGAAAGGTCTTCTTTAGAATTATGGGCGGTGGTTATTGGCTTTGTCAAGAGACTACTCGATATGAAAGTAGTTGTTGCTAAGTCAAGTGGAGATCTGATGCCGAGACCACCAAATTTGGTTGGAAGAGTTGCTTGGGCCCAAGCGGTTTCGTTGAATCTGATATTTACTATTTTTTCGGTTAAGTCCTTTATTCCTTTTTCGTAAGTTTGGAGAGGAATAGGATATTTAAAAATTGGTGTTGACCGAAGTGCGTAAAGAATCCTTGGTATAAAAAAGAAATTTTTTAGCAAAAAAAAGGACTTGTGTGATGGAATATATTTTCACCTGAATGTGTTTCATTTATTGGACTGACATCCAAAATTATGTTATTTATTTTAAAATTATCATCAATAAAATGGGTGTTAGCCCTAAAAAAGGAACCTGTGTTGGGCTAGTCCAAATGTCAGATGAAAAATTAATCTGACTTTTATTTTTAGATATTATTTCCTTTACCAATTGTTCTTTTTCTGCAGATGTATTATACATGTGCAATTTAAGAGTATTGGAGCATATTGATTTTACAGAACAATCAAGATCACTTATAAAATTTTTAAAATCATTAGAATTTATAATTTTAAAAGGAATATTATGATTTATAAATAATTTTAATAAATTATCCTTAAAATTAATTTTTTTTGAAGAATTTGGTGTAGACTTTAAAAAAATGTCAATTTTATTATTTTTTTTACTAAGGTGTGAATGAAACCTATTATAATGATTAATAAGAGGAGATTGTGTTTTGCCTTTACATTTTATAATACTCTTGCAATGATTGCAATCAGCCTTTTCACTATCTTTAAGGATTTGATATTGATCCCATATGATTGCTCTCTTTTGTGAGGAAATTTTCTCATCTTCAAACATCAAGCATAATTTCATCAGAAGCATTCTCCTCTAACATAATTAGGCTAGCTAACAATAATTATTGTAGAAATGTAATATATTTTTATGTACCTCTGGTTTGTGTAATTTTTAATATAATTTATTATGAGATTCAAAAAATAAACTTTTCGTGAGATTCAAAAAATGTGGCAAATAAAAATTTAAATTTTCACTTCAGAAATTTTTAAATTTGTGCTAGAATTTTTATAAACACAAACACATCACATGTCCGATTGGCAGGTCAACAAATAGAAATGACAAATGTTAGATTTATTAAACAATTTATTAAATATTACGAATAATTCGTTTTATTCGAATCGAATAAATGATTATTCGTATTCAGATAAAACAAATAATTTATTATTCGTATTCGTAATTATTCGATTAGAATCGAATCGAAAATTAGAATTAATTTTGAATAGGCCTAGTGGAAATAGAGTTAGGTAAAAAAAAAAAATTTTTTAAATTCTAAAGTAGCATAAAAAGTATGTCCCCCTACTTTTTTGAAAGCAATAGCTTGCACCTTTAGTAAAATATCGGTAGCGATAGCGCACTCCTTTTGACTAATATTGGTAACGATAGCGGGCAACTTTTAAAAATAGTTTTAAATTTAAAATAGAATCAATTGATATTTTTTGTTTTTCTTAACCATTTTTAATAAAATTTGTGATAATATTAGTAGTTTATCTAATGTTGGTAAATTGATTTTTCCAGTTTGAGCCGACTCCACACACAATTAAATCATTTTTTATATCTCAACTATAGTTGGTATGATTACAAATTGATTAAAATCGCGATTAAATGATTTCTTTTTAAATATAAATCATAATTTAAACAATTATTTTTTTGATTTATATTTTAATAATAAATTTTTTTCTTCTCCTAAATAAAAAGCATTCTATTATACTTCTTTTTTACTATATACTTTGCAAGTATATGTTATAATTTATTGTTAAATTTTATTATCTTTTATGGCATATATATTCCTATAAAAATAATTTTAATATTGTTAAAATTGAAGGCCAGATATCAAAAGTATTTCCTGTTTGATAAATATTAATCTAATTAAAATAATCCAAAATTAAAATTTAATTATAAATTATATACCTCAAAGTACATTAATATGCTTAAATATTTTTAGTCAGTTATATCATAACAAATTTATTCATAAATTTCTTAAGAAACAAAATAATTTATTAAAATTAGTGCTGTAAACGTTACTACAAAAAAGAAACGCGTTACCGTTACTCGTTACATCTGAAAAAAGAAACGCGTTACCGTTACTTGTCACCTTTTCAAAAAAGGAACGCGCGTTACCGACTTTTTAAAAAAGTAACGGGCTACTCGTTACTTAAAAAAATTGAATATATACAAAAATAATATTTATTTTCCCAATATATAATAAAATAAAATAAAACTATATAAAAAAAATATATAAGATCGTTTTATAAAAATAATTATAATATAAATAAAATTATACAAAAGTAATATATTATAATGTATCAATTTTTTATTTATTTTTAGCAACAATTGATTTCAAAATTTTGATCAGACAAACAAGAGCGCTTAGTGCTCAACACAGCTGGTTAAATGGGATGTTATATATAGTATTTAAATAATAAATAAAATCTATAATGAAATTTTCTGTAAAATTTTATTATTGGATAAATCCTGGCTACGCCACTATTCCATATATATTATTTAAACAAAGTTTTTAAATTATTCTTTAAATTTATTAACAATTATAGTCCCAATAGCAATACTAAAACAAGAAATTGAAGATTGTTTAAAAAACTTAATATAAAACTTTGAACCAAAACCAATATTTTGTTAACTTGAGTTTTTAATGTTGTTCCCAGCCCAATACTATAGTATTATTTAATTGCTTATAATTAGGGCTGTGCCGATCCACATATCTCCGATCCGATATTTCTTCAAATCCGATGCGATACTGATACCGATCCGATATTTATATTGATTTTTCACCACTTCCCTCAAATGGAAATCAATATTTTTTATGCAAAAAATCAAATTATGCATTTAATTTAATTTCTTTATTTCTGCTTAAGACTATAATTAAAAAAACATATATTTGATAATATATCCATTTTATGTTGGTATGAATTATAAAATTGTAATATTTAATATATAAAATTATAATATATTCGATTTTTTAATAAATGAGCCTCTAGATTTTCTGGCTATAAGCTTCTACGATATGGGCTATCTATATCCCCTGCCGCACTGAAGACAGACTCATATGATTCCGCAGATAACGCATTTTGCAAAATTATCTTTGTCTTTTGTAAAATATTTCCATAATTCAGATACCATATATTTAAAAAAATTCTTTTATTTAAAGTATAAATAATAAAATTGGCGTTTTTATTTAAAAAGATTTAAAATTAATAAAACTTTGGGTGTTCCTTTCTATTTTTATAAAAAAACTTAAATACTATAAATCTATTTTTAAAAAGAAATAAAATTTAGAGGGTGTTGTTCATTTGCATTGTTTAAAAAAAATTTTTTAGAAAATATTATAATAACATAAAATAAATATACATAATATAAAATAACAAGAAAAAGAAAAGTAAAAAGATCGGATCGGTTTTTTACAGATATAGGCCCGATCCGATATTTTTGAAAAACGCTACCGCACAGCCTTACTTATATTTTAATTCCATGATTAAACTTTTCAAAATATTATGAAAAAATATTATTATTAAAGTAATGTTTAAAATAATGATATATTAATTCATCTTTTTACCTATGCTTTTTAAGTTTGAACTGCTGGATATTGAGGTTGAAATATTTGCGTTGGGATATAATTTACATTTACAAAGTGTAGACTTGATACCATTAATTTTCTTTATTGGTTTAAAATAAATCAAATTGGGGCCAAGGAAGGGATAAATCATCTTCATCTGAAGAAATAAGTACTATGGACATAATATTCCTAAACTAAATTATAAGAATAATAATATCATTATTAACATTTAATTTGAATTTTGATTGATTATTAATTTCGACAGAAAATTTAACAACGAGAATTTAAAATAAAAATTAAGGAAGTGGTTGATATGAATTAAAACTTAGCTTAAATTATTAATATTAAGAATTAAAAAATAAATAAAACTAATTTTATAATACAATAAAATATATTTTTCTTTTTAATGATATTTTTTAAAAAAATATAAAGTAACGTTTTGCGTTACCAGCGCGTTACCGTTACTCGTTACCTCAAGAAAAAGGTAACAAATGGCTTTCCTTTTCTTCAAAAAATTGACGTTATTTCACAGCACTAATTAAAATGAATGCAGTTTTCATAATTATTTGCCAGAAGTTATTTTCTTCCAAGGTACTTTTTAAAATATTATAAAGTTGTTATAAAAATTTGATAACTCAAAAAAATACCCTTATCTCAACCATGGTCAAATTGAAAAAAATCTATTTTAAGCTCTGAATTTTTCTTGACACATACGGATATAGATCAGCAGATTACGCAATACTAGAATGATCTATATAATTTAATTTTCACTGACGTTTTCCTTTATTATAAACCCAAATGATAGTCTCTTTATCATGGTCTTGAAGCCTTTTCTGTTAATTTATTATTCCATAAAAAAAATCAAGGTTTAGGCATTAATTAATTCCATAATTACAATTATTTTTTTGTAATTTATAGGCGTAATCAATTTTACTTTGAAAAAAGGGATTAGTAATTATAATAAATTACATTTCAAACCTTAAATTAATAATAAATAGTTATAATTACAATTACATTTCAAGCCTATCATTAATAGTAAATAGTTATAATTACAATTTCATTACTAATTCCTCTCTAAAATTAAATTAATTTTTTATGATAAACCTAATATTGCAATCATACATTTATATTTTTGGTGAGAACGTACTGAGTGATTCTGAATCCTTTATTTTTACCTTGGACTCTGACGATAACTCCGATAATTGCATGTCTACTATAATTTCACATTAACTAGAAGATAAATTGAAATAGTCAATTTTCAGTCTCAATTTTTACAAATAACTAATAAAAATGATAAAACCACAAGCGGTGCTTGTGCACTTTGCCATCAAATCATAAAGGAAATTTCTTAAAACAGATGAAGGTATATCTAAATATTAATCTTTAGTTCCTGATCTTTTTTTAGAGAAAATATCCTTTTATATTTAGAAAAAAATCTACTGAATCATCAAACGAGTAAACAATTGATTTTATCAGGATTTTAAGTGTTTTCTATAATTAAATTTAGGAAAAAGAATTATAAATGTTATTATATAGTTTAGCTATTAATTACAAAAAAGGAATTGAAATTATGTAATTAATTACTCCACAAACTTGAAGACCATTTTAAGGCATTATAATTGATTTATGAGTGATTAGAGACCTGCAAATTATGGCCCGTATTCGGATTCAGGCCGTATCTTTAAAAAAAACTATTTTGGGCTGGGTTAGGCCTAATATTTTTTAAAATTTCGGGCCGGGTCGGGCTTAAATTTTTAAATATGTCATTAAATTTTGTCAAATTAATTGATATAAAATTCTTGCAGGATAAGGCTCTAATATTTTTTATTTGTAGAATATTTTTTTTACAATCAAAAAAAATATTAAATTTTTCTATATTTAAATAAATTCGGACCGAGCTAGGTGGACAAATAAAAAAAATTTGTTTAGGTTCGGGTCTGGCAGGATTTTTTTAAAAAAAATTTTGGATCGGGTCGGGCTTGAAAAATTAGGCCCGATAAATATCATGTATATTGATAAAAAAATTTTAATACACATTATATTAGATATTGATATTACTAAATGAATATAAAACGATTAACAGACCTTTTGTGAATTTCAAACTGGTTTTTTAATAATAATTATTATTTAACAGTGATAGAGTAAAAAGGTTATTTTTATTCTCATATATTTACCAATTAAAATTTCGTTCTTAATCTAATTAGAACATGTATGACCTGCCTACAAATTTTAATCAAAGTTAAAAAGGGTCGGCCGAAAATCTAAACTTTCTCACTCATTTGACAAATGACCTGATAAGATAGCTTATCTTATGCAATATAATATAAAATAAATAGAGTTAATTGGAAGTCTTGAATTTTATTGAAAATCAAATTTGTTTTGTTTTATCCTTTTTTAGTCTACTATAATGCAATTGCAATCTTTTAAATTTGTTACATTAAACGAGAACTGCATATAAGCCCCAAGGCGGGTTTGAGCCTAATTTTTTTTAAAATTCAGGTCTCGGGCCGAGCCCGGGATTAAAAATCTAAAAGGTTACATCGAAATAAGTTCGCTTCAATTAATAGATTTTCTCAGGAATGAGAGCTGCAACTAAGCCTGGAGGAGGGCTTGAAAAATTCGGGTCTTAGGTCTGTCCCTGGATTAAAAATATTTAGGAAGTTACATGGATAATAATGATTACTATTCAATGTTCAATAGAATTTTTCAGGAATTAGGTCAAAGAAATTAGTGACTTTTATATTGATACTTTAAAATGCATTTGATTAAATATTCTTTCAATTAAAAATTTGGGGCTGAAGTTCAAACAATATAAATGGCAGGATATGATTATTTTTATTTGCAGGGTTCTATATATATCATAGGAATAATTCGTATTAATAATTTAATTTTTTATTATACATTTCGTAAATTTGGTATCAAATAAGTATAAGGGGATTATTTTTCGTTAAGCCTACATGGCCCTAGCACATTTTTATTTCTTTATCATATAGCATAAAAGTAAGATAATTTTGATTATTTAATACTATTAAATAAACCTCCATTTTTTAACCACTACTATTCACTTCAGTTACGATTGTAAGCCCCGTCGACCTTATTCACCGGGGTACTCCAGCCCACCCCCTCGCGAAGACTATGAAAGGTACTTGCGGTCTCTATATCCGCCGCCCCCACCAGTGGTCCGTTCTCCCTCTCGCTCCAATAGTGCTTCACCCCCATATCGGTCGGAATATCGTCGTGGACCCATGGCGACTTCGCCATTAGCCCAAAAACTTAAGAGCAACCCTCGCGACGCTAGACGTCCCTCTCCAACCTCGACTAACAATCGTCGGGGCGCAGAAAAAGGTGCTGCATATGCGGGTAGTGTGGACGAGTCCGCTTCGCGTAATTCACGTCATCACGCTAATTACTCCGCAAAATCTGGGCGCGAGGCTCATCCTTCAGCTCGAAGATAAATTTTTGGAAAGTTTATTATGTCGCATATCTTACTATTAATGTTAAATTTATTGAATAATATTTAGTACAACCCTCGCTATACATTTTACAATATTTATTATATTCTGTAAAGCGCTTAGAATTTTCATTAATTATTATCTTATTTAGTCTCAAACGTAGATATCATCTGGCTAAAATCAAATGCCGTCGGGCTAACATGTTTGTTATATACATTAAGTATATATTTTAAAATTTTCGGAAAATATATTACAATTTTATCTGTTTATATTATATATTCATTATTAGCAAGATTATATGTAGGTTATATAGTTCGGTTATATAATTATGTTTTAGAATATTACCGCTCGCTTTTTATATTTTATTTTTTTACAATTTTTAATACTTACCTTTAAATCATTTTGATTTATAATTTTTTTTGAACCATTTGATTGCATATTTTACATTTAACCATAGAATATACTATACATATTTTTTTAGTACGTATATATAAAATAGTAATTTTTCGCCAAAATTTAAAGAAGGATAGCAGTATTTTTCCATGGCACCAACAAACCATCACAGTGTGTTTATATAATTACGTTAATTTTCGCGAGGTTTAATCTTTAAATTGTTCTATATATATTTTTTACAATACACCAAATTAGTTACTTTTTATTAATGAAAATAAATCACGCCACATATATGCAAAAATTTTCTTATTGCATCTGAATTAGATAATTATCATGTTTGATCATAGATAAATGTTTAAATATATTTTTGAGAAATAACTGCAAATTTTATTATTTCACTCGACATTCACATATCTACTAAGAAACAATTTTGGGACACCGATTTAAAATGGATGAAATTTGGATCATGGATGCGATGATATACATAAGGCTCGGACGAAAGATTATTAAATCTGTTGTCATTTGTAAAAATGACACAATATCCGGACTCTGGTTCCAAATTCATTCATTTTTATATATATTAGCTAATAAAAGCAATAAAAAATCAACACCGTTATGAACTGATTTTTAATTGAAATCTGATAGTAAAAAGGACACAATTGATAATTTATTATAGATAATTCTTTATCTTACTTATAATTGAAAGTGAAGTTTTAAAAAGAAAGTTACCAGAGAAACTTTATTTTGCGCAAAACTAAAAATATTATTTAATTAATGGTCGGTTATTGAGCGTGCTTTAATGGAGGTCATTTCGATCTGGAGCCAATTTTCAAAGGTAGAACTCTCATAATTACGCATAAATTTTAATTATTATATTGATTAAATTTTGAAATTTTAAACTAATTTATATCGTTTTATGTTTTTTGGGGAAAAAATTACTTTAATGAATACCGAAACTCAAAAATTATTTAAAAAGTCTTAGGAAAATATTATTACCTCAGCTAAAATTATTATTATACCGTACATTCCGTATATGATGTATCCCTATTTTATACCGGATATTTAAATCCTAATTCATTACGAAAAGATCAAATTTTATTCCAATAAATGTAAAATAAACCTTTATAAATTTATTTTACAAATCTAGTATAGATTAATTTTAAATATCTAAAATAGAGATGGATGGTATAAAAGCAAGTTTTCTAATAATAATTCTGTGAGAAATAAATGATAGTCTTTTATAATTAAAATATAACGGGTAATTTTTAAAAAAACCACCTGTTTCCTGTGATGTTCGAAAAATAAATTTAACACTAAAATCAGCCGATGAAGTAACTTAGGAAGCTACTTTAAAAAATATAACAAATTCGAATAAAATTATTCCATTCGTTACTAATTATTAAGGGAGACTAGGGATTTATTAGACCGGAGTTATAGGCGATGCATTACTTTTTATATTTAGACGTTTTTTTCCTACCCCCCCCCCCCTCCCTGTACATGCAGAAGTGCGCGCAGGATATAGTTTTTTGAGCTCACAATTAGGGTAAATTTTTGTGGTCGGTGAAATTGATAGAAGAATTAATAAGGCACTAAATATTGGTATTGTTAGAAGTTACTTTTAAAACATTACTGGTTATATGTGAAAAGTAACTAGTTACTTTATATATCAATCATATAACGCATTTATTTAATATAAAAAAATTTAGGATATACAAAATTATAAATTATTTTAAAAAATGTACAATTTATTTATATAAAAAAATAATTAAACCGAAAAAAATATCGGAAAATAGAATATATATATTTGCATTGAAATAAAAATATATGAGCTTCCCTATAAATAAACCCTCTGCCGCTTGATATAAGGACATTATATTTAATAAAAAGTAATTTTTTGGGGGGAAATCATCATATAAAGATAATGTGTTATTGGATTTTATAAAATTTTCTACATATTCATTATCAACAATATTTATCACTTTAAGTTAAAAAATCCAACTACATCAAATGATGTTGGTTTTGGACATGATTCATTTGTCTAATTCACCTTGAGGTATTAGAGTATTTATTAAACTTAAAATTTCCTTCTTTTTTGCTCTATTCCTTTCTTGCCTTATCCAAGGCCATTCAGTTTTAAATAGGATGAAGAATTGCAGCAATAATTTTATCATTATCATAAAGATCATTAAACCTATAAAAGTATATTATTAATTTATATATAATTATTTAATTTAAGTTAACTTTTTTAATACTAGCAAATATAGCATCCTTAAAAGGTTGACAATATTTCAACCCTTGCAAATCTTCCAGACATAAGTTTATGTATTATTGATGGGGTATAATAACCTAGTTACATGTATTTTTCACCTTCAAGTATATCAATAGCTTTGGCCATGGTTGTATAATCTAATTTTTAAATTATAAATTTTTTATAAGACATTAATTTAAATTTACACTACAATATATAAAATCACGATTATGTAATGTACACAATTTTAATTGATCACATAATAAATCAAATTCCATATGCACTTCATTTAAAAATGATAATATTTTAGCCAGAGATTTATAAAAAGAACCCCATCTTGTTATAACGGGATACGACAATTGAGAATGTAATATCTTTTTATTAGTTCGGCTGATGGTTGGCATATGGATATAACAAAGTTATACACTTTTACTCCTCATTGTTTAAAAGTATTTTGTTAACATCTTGTGTTGCCACTATGTTTAATGTATGACAAAAACATCTTCGATGCCCGGGAAGGTAGTAGAAGAAAAAATCCTAGACAAGAGGACCAGGACAAAAGTATCCTAAATAATTCCCTAATATCAAAAAAATTAAATTATAGAATGAAGGGTATTTGATTAATCTCTTGTTGAAGGAAATGATATTTGATATCTGCATTATAATATTTTGTTTTTCTTTCATAAATTTTGTCTTTCCTTATTAGTAAGTAATGATTACTAATTTGATATTTTATACAAAAATTATTTAATTCTAAAATATCTAAGTCTTTGTCTTTCCTTAAACAAAGTTTTATTATCTAAGTAATTTTAGAAAAAATACAATTATTACTTATGATATGAAATTCCAGAAAATATTCCCAGCAACTTGAGGGCAAAAGATATGTAATATATTGTGCTAAATTTGTAAAGAAATATATTATTAAAAATAGGTGATTTGGTTAGAAGATTATGAAACTCAGCAATGCAACAATTTAAGAAAAGCAAATCTATTTGGACGGGAAATTATATTATTGTTGCATATTCTTTTCGAACAAATCAAACATTTAAACAAAATTTTAAATTAATAAATTTAATTTAAAATTAATTTATCAAAATAAAATTAATTATTTGAATATTATATTTAGATTTATACATACATATTTTTTAAAGTAACTCCTTACTTTTGACAATTATATTTCATAAAATATAACTAGTTATAATTTTTAAAATATATCTAGTTGCAGTTATTTTTCAAAAGTTACTTTAACAACACAAATATTAATACAAACCAGATATTTAGAACTTATATATTCTCCATTCTGATTAAATGCCAATTTTTTTATTATTTTGCTAGAAATGTTTTTTCTTACTTTTTACCAACCGGATTAAAATAATTTCATACCATAAAATTTTCCGAATGAATGCCTTCTCTCGCTTTTTAATCGTAAATTCCTTTATACTTAAAGCCCCCCCCCCTTAAATAGATGTTGGCTGCGCCACTAGATTTATACATGCAAAAGTAATGCTTTGGACATTAATTATTCAAAAAATGATACGAAAGTATTTTGCATTTAAAAATATTTTTTTATAGAAAATCTATCCAATCAGAAAAATTTATTAAAAATATTTTTAATTAGTGCTACCAAATTTGTAATTTTTTAAAGATCCGATATTGAAATATTTTTAAAAACTGATCCCATATTTAATCTGGTAAGTCAAGGTTTATGTTAGAACTTAGAAGGAATTAAATATTTTTTTTAGAATTCATTTTATATACAATCTTAGTGCAAACAATGTGTAATCGATTAAATATGGAAGAAATAATTGTGTTTCAAAATTTCATTAATGCATTATTTTTTTCGTTTTTTATATTTGAAAAGAAGTTTTTGTTCTTTATACAATCCTATCCAACATTCTTATAAAAATAAACAAAATTTATAAAAATGGATGTGCAAAAACAAAATATTATTATGCTAATATTTTATCATTAAAAAAAATCAAATTGATAGGGTTCTAAATAATATCAGCCGATCCAATTTTCTCGAAAATTATTAATATTGGTTTCGATCAGACCGTCCTAATCAATAAAATTGGGGGTCTGGGGCCCATTTTATGGAGTTAAACGAGACATTTACATACTAATTCTAACATTTATAATAAGACCAAAAATTATGATTTAATTAAGGAGTAGGATTTAAGTGTATAGACATAGGGGATGATAGGGTTGGTCGTTAATTGAAGGTTTGAGAGATTGAATTAGGTAGGGTTAATTTAATTTTTTTGATAACAGATCGTATTTTATTGACACATGTCAAGATATCAAAAATATAACTATAATTTATAATATAAAAACTCAATTAAACACATTTCCCAAAATCTAACAAAGGTAGTCAAACCTGTACTTCGTAAGCATACGAACCAATTGAGGGATTGAGTTTCTTTGGAGGATGAAGTCAGCGAGGAAAGTAGGAAGGAGTTAATCGAACCAAACGAACGAGATAGAAAAGTTGCTAAGAAGGGAAATCGTAGATGTACGAGTGTTACTATCTGTCTAAATTAATTATTATTTTATCTAATTTATAATTTTGGATTTAAAATTTTATAAAATTCTCTTCTAAATTAATTACCTAGCTTAGAAAGTGTATTTATGATTTATACAGAGGAAATTTATATATAATAATAGAAATTATAAAGATAATTTTGGAATTAATTATTTCCAAGAAAACGATATAACAAAAATATCAATAATGTTTCATAAGAGGAAAAGAAACAAGATAATGACAACAGCCGTCTTTATGTCAAATTGCCCTTGTTTTGTAACTGTTACATGTTCTAAATAAAGGTACATTCGCTTTTTTTAAGGTGAGGATGGTAACTTAGCCATTTATTTCATAATTGTTATCGTTGACTATTATTGAGTAACATGCCCCCTGGTTATTTATTATCTTATATTATTTCAACGTTGACTCTCACTATTAAAAATTATATTATTAACTGGCTACTAAATCTTTGTAAATTCTGGCAAATGAAGACAATTCATTACATAATTTGTGATTGAATACATTTTCTAATTATGAAACTTTCTTCAAAGTTCAGAAAACCATAGATATTTATTTCTTCTAACAAATATTGCATATTTGGTATTTTTCTATCAGTAAACAAATATATAACCATAATCATATTTGGCCACTGTCATATTCAAACTAAAAAATTAGGTACTTTGTCAGCATGGAAAATGATAGAAGATGCTAAATCTTCTGTATCATCGATTATTACATCGATTCAAAATAAAGCAATAAAATGGCTTCTAATTTAAATGAAACACTTAAATATTTAAAGCTCCAGGAGAGTATCAGGGTACAGAATGGTTTGCCAAAAAATCGAATAGGACGAGCGAAGAGAATATATAGTGACAAATGTCAAGATAAACGTCCTCAAGAATCGATTGATCTTTATAGGTTCGTAGTATTTCGTCCTATAATTGATCAAATTATGAACAGCTTGTCGGATCGGCTCTCTGCGAATTGAGAGTTTATTTTGAATGTGCAATATTTGCATCCTAGACATATGAGGATATTCAGCAGATAGAATAATTTTTAATATCCTCTTAAAAATTAAAAATACGTATTTTTAATTTTTAAAAGGATGTTATGCTAGGCTCTAAAAGAAGGGGATGCCAGAAAAATAATTTAATGACATACCCCCTTTTAAAATATTTAACTATTTAAAATTTAGATTGCAAATCTTATATTGCTGAGGATATTCAGCAGATAGAATAATTTTTAATTTCCTCTTAAAATGTATAAAAAATCCTATGAGGTTGGGAAGTAGGGGTTTCAGGATTTCTATCTTGATGAAATAAATAGTAAAGATATATATATATTGCGTGTTAAATTGCGTAACGAATAATGTTCATTTTCCAGTGTATTCAAAGATATGGTAGCAGAATTAAATGAAACGGACGATGATCGGATGAACAAGTGAAGAGTCAAATGAAGAAGATGGAATATTACAATATGGTAATAACTCAGAGTGTGATAATAAATGTAACAAGTGTTTAATATGCGTGTATTAAATTTTTAAAAGATGCAATATGCATACAAGTGACACTAATTTATTGGCATATGAATACATTTTAACTTTGTCATTTACGCAGGTTAATTGCGAGAAAACATTTAGTAAATTAAAAATTATAAAAATAAGCTGAGAGCTAATATTGACCAAGAAAAATTAGAAGCGTTTTAATGATGTCAGTTGAATGAGAACTTAGCGCAGATTGAACTATAAGATATTCTTGTATATTTGCGCAAAGGTTCAAAGTTTGAGAGATTTATTAACGTAAAAATTATACATTTCCTTTTTTATTTGAATTTTATTAATATCTACTTACAATATGATCGGTGCCTGATTTTATAAGTGTAGCAATTTTATACGCTGTAATATTGTATAACTGCAATAAGTAAAATTAATTGATTTGATATATTGAGTATGTATTTTTTTTATATTTAACATGTGATGTATGATTTGATTTTATAGTGCAATATCGTTATAAATCTAATATAAATATATATGTGCCATGAATATTATTTTATTTTGGAAGTGAATATGAATTTAGATGTGCATTTTTAAAAAATAAATTATATGATTATCGTATAAATACTATTCCTTTTCTTCCTAAAAATGTAAATCTTTTGAACTTATTCTCAAAAATAATAATTAATAAAAATCATGTAAATCGAAGAAGCCATATAAGGGAACCCGGGCAAAAGCGGGCCGAGAGCCCGCAAAAATGGAGGTATGGGGGCGATGCCCCCATATAAATGAGGCCCCTATAAAAAAATGCCCACGAGGCCCTAGCGTCGCCAGTCCGCCCCTGACATGATCACAAAGATAATAATATGTTATATATCTTATTCGAATCAATTGGAAAACGTCCATAAATGTCAATTATATATCAACAGATACAACAAGTATAAGCCCTTTATTCACCGAAAATCTTTCGATTTAAACTATTAATAATTTGAGCAAGCATATGACGAAATACTTTAAAAATAAGAGATTTATCTGATTTTTGAACCTACATCTTTGCATTGATCTACATCCACCTTGTTAGACTTATTCTAGTTTTTAGCATTTCATTATCTATATTTTATCTAGCAGCTTTAAATCAGTAATATTTTCATTTAAAGTTGTAGCCATTTTTATGGCTTTATTTTATTTAGCATCTTCGATCATTTTCCAAGCTTATAAATCTTTCAAATTTTTAGTTTAAATGTATTTAGAGCCGCCCTATTATTTCAGAAAAATCAAAGTCGTTTTTGAATTTGCACAGATTCTCAATCAACGAATTAGCTACCGATAAGGTTTGTTTTTACCTTATAGAGATCGGGAGTAAGGTTGTTTTATCATATAACAATCTAAGGTATTTTTCACGGCTTACCACCTTGTTTTACTCATTTCTTTTTGAGACATAGCTCTTTTAGCCAGATAAATTGTTTTCGCCAAGACCAGCTGCTCTTGTACTATTTACTTACAAACTAAATTGTTTGTTACCATCTCCCTTAATTCTTAATTTTACCTAAAACATCATCAATAACTTATTAACAGTTTTGATATAAAATTATTAGAGATTCCCTTGAATTTTGATTTATCTGGAAATTTTAACTTTTCTTTTCCACGTTTGATTCTGAAAATAGCCTTTTCTGAATGATGTTTAAGTGTTATATCATTTTTTGATATGATTTGTATCGTCTCAAGAAAATTTCCATGGTTTAGGTTTCACTTTAAAGATTTCTAAGTGTTTCATTATGGTTTACCTTTGTCAAAATAGTTTTTACTTAAAAACTTCACTATCTTAAATATTTGTTTTATTACATGGATATTATTGCGAATGTCTCGATTATTTATTATTTTAAAATTAATTAAATTATTTTTCTATAATATATTATAAAATGTATAAAAATATATAAATTCAAAACTTAAATTTCCTTGAAACGGAGTAAATGAAAAAAACCCATATAATAGCGGGTATTAAATGCATAGTGTCGAATATTATTAATTTTTTTATGCGTTTTATAGTATATTGGTAAAGATAATATCAATGATATCTATGAATTTTACCATTTGAATCAAATTTTTGAATGAAAAATATTTGTACCATGGTTAAAAAGGGGGATGTAATTATTACACATGACATGGATCTGGATGTTAAAAAATCTAAAGACTTGCTAAATTCTGAGAATTGTAAATTTATTCATTATTTAGCATCTTCTGATGATGATTCTAAAATTTGTGGTTTAGATTAGAAAATAGTTTATTTTATCTTATCATTTATTTGATGAAATAAAAAAATTTTCGTGTAGGGTACACTAATGGGCAGGCATAGTTTTAATGATAAATGGTAAAAGATAAAAATATTTGCAGGAAATGGCATAATTTAATATTTTTTCTGATAATTCGAAATCTTGAAATAGGATTTTAAAAAAATTGATTAGAACAGGAAACTAGTTTTTATAAGAGCAAATTTCCAGTTTATGGGGAAAGCAACTTCTGCAAATGACAAATTGCTGATGTTCAAGTTCTGATCTGTGATAGTTTCCATCTTAAAAGTTTTCAATAATACATTTTAAAAAATCAATATTGACCTTATTTTTTTAAAAGAAAATTTCCAACTTTTCCTCCCAAATTTTCCGAGAAATTTAACCTAATAGTTTCCCGGGAAATTTAAGGTAACCAATTCAAAGTCCAATAAAGAGTTAGCCTAAAGCCCACCAATAAAATTTATAAAAAAAACAACCTACCCCTATCGGTCACGTTAAATTGCTATTGATTTGTCCCCGATTACTTGTATTTCACATTTATATATTTTATTAATACATGTTGTGGGTTTAGTAAGACCTCTCATTATAATTAAAAGATATAAATTCGATTGTCATAATTATTTAAAATTTTCAATTTAGTAAAAATGTATCCCTGATATTCTATACTATTAATTTATGTATTATAATATAAATGTCGTTATAAAAATTTATGCAAATACAATATTATAAATAATTTTTTTTCAAATTGCAAAATATATTTGGTTTTTGTTAAATTGGTTAAAAAAATCTGTTAAAATCATTTTTCCCTTATCACATTTGAAAGGTTTATTTACTTTCGAAGAAAATATACAAAAGAAAAAAAAATTCAATGATTTAAATGTCTTTTAATTGTAAGGAAAATTAATACTAAGGAAAAAAAAATGAGTTTTTAAAAATTTTATATAAGTATTTTATATCATAATAAATGCATTGTTTTTTTTATGTGATTAAAAAACCAAAAAGGTAAATTTAAATCAAGGCTATCTACAACAAAATGTAGAAAATAGTTTAAATTAATAATGGTGTATCAATCAGTTCTTTTGGTATCATGATTGATTTTAACTCTTTTAGATATATTTTTGTACAGGTAAGAGCGGCATGGAAATTTTTTCTTTTTGAACAGTACTTTGTTGCAAATCTCGCCGTTTAAACTCTGGTCATTACCTATGGCAACATCTTGGTTCAAATCATGGCTTTCGGCATCGATTCCATCACCATCCATCTCCTTGTGGATATTGGCATTGACGGTGGAAATCGATTTTACATTATCGGCGTTCCTAGTAGTCGTATTTTCGCTTGAGGGGAGATGCGTAACTTTTTGATCAGGTTCTTCAGTAGCCTCCATTTTGATGATAGTAGTCGAAGGCAATTTAGAAGGCCATTTAGCTTTTCTCTTGTTGGGAGATACGCAGTTATTGTTAATCACGTCTTCCGGCGTCATGAAATCTGGCTCTTCACCTTTAGAAGAACTCGAAACAAATTGCTCGTTCTTGTTCAACATAGGTAATTTTTCTTCTACGTCATTATTTTTATCAACGTTGTTATGCTTTATATTTTCGGAAAGCTGGTTATTATCGGTAGGGGCTCCTTTATGGTCATAAAAACGATCGGTATTTTCGTTGGAATGAATGTCAGAATTAATATATTTTACCACTTTATCCTCCTCATTTTTAATATTAAAATCCTCTTCGAAGTCATCGTTAAATATGTCCGGAGTGCTCTTGTAATTTCTTATATAGTCATAAAGTGTCCTGTATGGGATACCATATATTTTTGAGGCCTGTACAACCGTTTTTTGGCCGTGAATGACTGTTGAAATGGCGCTTTTTAATTGAGATTTTGTGTATTTGGATGATTGTTTCTTGGCCATATCCTTTTTAGAAGAGTGAGAATTCATAAATCTCTTATGGGCTAAGCTAGGAATAACGCTTGAACTTTTATTGCCTGCTTTATTAACAAAATTATTGTTAGTATCTTTTGGAATAGAATCCAGCTCGGAGTTGTCCGTTTTTTCTAAGTAATTTAAAGATTTGTTGTATATGTAGGGTGGTTGTTTGAATGAGCAAATAGTTTTATCGAAACCTAGATTATTGAGCAGATTATTAGGAGCATGCTCTTCTATATCGAATTCCGTCATATTACCCATGCAAAAGGTTTGGTAATATTTCTGAAGTTTATCTTCGGGAATTTTGAAATATTTGGAAGCACCTTTTATATCAATGTATTTATAGGCCACGGAAAATAGCGCGGCCATAACAACCTCATTCTCGATCATATTATTATTATTGAGCTTAAGGTTATTTGTTAGTTCGTTGTTCGAGGCCATATTACTACTATTTTTATCGTTAAAATTATTTAGGGCCAACTTCTTATTGTTGACCCATTGATCATATAATCTTTCAGCTGATTCGACTGGTAACGGAGGGGAAACATCCTTATCGAAGTTGTAAGCCACATCATTTGTAGACGATTCACGCTGTAAAAGGTTTCCCCAAAATTTATTGTCTATCCCATCATAGAGTGTATTCATCTTGGTAACAATGTCGCACCCTATTTTCTGAATGTTTTTTACCGTGTCACTAGAAGTTGAAGAACCACCCATCATTGAATAGCCGTTGCTTCCCGTTGTAATGTTTTGTAATTGAGATTTTGTGTATTTAGACTGTTTCTTTGTTATATCGTTTCTATAAGAGTGTGAATTCACAAATTTCATATGGGCTGAGTCCAAAGTTTCGTTTGATTCTTTGTTGCTTAGATTACCGACTTTATTTATAAAATTGCTATTAATGATCCGATCTTCTGGATGAGAATTTTGCAGTTCGGGATTGTTCGGTTTATCATAATACCCTAAAGATTTATCACAAACGTAGGAAGGTTGTTTGGGCGAAAAAACATTTTTATCGAAACCAAGATAATTGAACTGATTATTAGGTGCAAGTTCTCCTCCTATACCGTATTTGGTCATATTGCCCATGCTAAATGTTTGGTAAAATTCCTGAAGTTTATCTTCCGGGATTTTAAAATATTTTGAAGCACCTTTAATATCAGTGTATTTGTAGGCCACTGAAAATAATGCGGCCATAACGACCTCATTTTCGATCATATTTTTATTGAGGATATTAAAGTTATTGGTTAGTTCGTTGTCAGAGGCCATATTACTATTTTTATCGTTAAAATTATTCAGAGCCAACTTCTTTTTGTATTTCCATTGATCGCATGCTAATCTTTGGGCCGATTCGACTGGTACGGGGAAAGGTTCTTTGTTAAAACGGGAGGCCGCATTATCCGTAGATGATTCGTGATCCAAAAGGTTTCCCCAAAATTTATCGTCTATCCCATCATAAAGCATATTCATCTTGGTGACGATATCACAGCCCATTTTTTGAATGTTTTTTACCATGTCGCTAGAAGATAAAGAACCTCCAACCATAGAATACCCGCTGCTATTGTCTCCTTCCAATGAGTTTACATGGGAGGCCAAAAAAATTTGATTGTGCACGAATAAATGGTTTAAAAACACGTTTTTATCACCCAAAGCGAGACCGCACAAGGCACACACAAAGTCTGGAGAAACGTGTTCCGTTGGCTTGTGATTATCATTGTTGAGTGCGTTCCTAATCTTCCTTAGACTCAATGGTTGTTCGCTAGATAATGTTATTTTTTCGAACTTTTTATCAAAGCCTTGAGTAAGAATGCTCTTGTCATTTTTTCTCAAAGAGATGCCCGTCGCTGAAGTTTCTTCATTGGATTTCCCTTTCATCAAGTAATTTCGCAGAGTGTCGGTCCCTGAATAAGTGTTGTTGTTTAAGTTAAACATTATTCTATATTTCGAGTGTAACATTTATGATAAAATTTAAATAAAATAGAGATGCCCAGATACTTTCAATTAACCGATACCCAAAAATGAGAATTAACCTTCAATAATTTTTAAAGAAAGTTTCTTTCTTTATTTCGAAAAGAAATAATCAACTTATAAAAGAAAATGACTTACTTCAATATGATTGAATGTGGTGGTTTAAATTGATAATAAAAAATATAAGGGCAAAATGGAGATTTGGAAAAAAATAATATAATCATTTATTTTATATCGGTTGTAATTGGCTAAAAAAAAAGGTCGCATCGGTGAATCTATGCAATAAAAGTAGTATTTTCTTCAATATAAATCATCACTTTCTTTTATAAACTATACGTACTTGGTTCGTAATTATCTGAGTGATTTTTTGATGTTGTAAGACGATCAATTGGTTCCTGTTAACAATTTTTTTTAAATTGTTAAATAAAATGTATAATAAAAATAATTTTCTCCTTTAAATATGCCGATGCCCTAAAAAGTCTTATATTTTCATTACACTCCTCCCACTTCCTTAAAAAATCATCGTTGTCCTAAAAAGTCTTATATTTTCCTTATACTCCCTTCACACATCCATCAAATGTTAAAAAAACTTAAATCAAGTATATAACCGATATTTCTTTTCTTACCGTCTTTACTAAAGTTGTCCCATAATATATCTGATCGACTAGAGAAGATTCTCCATCGACCAAATAACGGGCATGATAATTGCTTTTATCTGTCCTCATGAGGGAGCCATAATACTTTTCAAACCTATCTTTATTCGTGGTATCACAATGGTTATTTTGAATATCACTAAATATAACTTGTTTTGATTTGGTATTATTTGTGCTTTGAATCCCGTTATAATTACCGTAGTAAGACAGGGTAGAATTTGTAGCGCAGGACACGGGCGAAGGCGAACTATTAGGATACTTGTTTGGTTGTGATATTGGATATGTTATAGTTACATTATCTTTGGTCATCGGGCTCTTTCTTGCTACACAATTATCTCCTTCGTCATCACTATTAAATTTGAGTTTTGGGAGGCTATTGGAAGTTGAATGATACGGAAAAGGCTTGGTAGAGGGAGCGTTCTTTGGTAATTCCAGTTGGTCAGGATTGTAGTTCTCAAAATTATCGGTGATGGTCAATTTGGATGTAGTATTCTGGTCGTTCACTGCTATAATACCATTGAGCTCTGCCGCAGGGGATTCATCGCTGTGGCTACTTTGAATTTCATTTTTGATTTGATGATTGTTATTATTGCCCAAACTCGCTCCCCCAATTTTTTTCTTGTGGGTTGTCATGTGCTCTTTCCATTCTATTTTGTATCTCAAATCCGTTTGGCAGTAGACGCACCAATATTGCATGGGTCTCAAATGATGGTGAAGAGTACTTCTAGGCACCTAATAATTTTATTTGTACAAGTTTATTTCATAATAATTCATTTTAGTAATAGAAATTACCTTGAAAAATTTTGCCGCTTGTTCGCCACTCATTTTAGCAGTTTGAACGGCTTCCAGAGCCTTCATAAGTTGCTCCCTAGTGTAAGCCTTGTAGTAGCCTCGCTTGTGAGAGGCCTAACATATAGTAATAATATATAATAAAATATCGAATAGTATTTTTAAATTATAGATTTGGAATTATCATAACTTTGTAATCTATACTACACAATTGAAATCTTATATTATTTTTAATAAAAAATTCCTATTTTTTATATAAATAAAACATTAAAATTAATGTATTTTATATTAATTCAATGAATTCTGAAATGTTTGTTTGATTAGCAAAACTATAACCCGCCTAATTATATATATATATATGTATCTAGTTTTTTACTGTTAAATTCTGATTGTTGAACCCATTGGAATTAACAGACCCATTCTTGAAGTCTTCACCCTGGGCGGCGAAACTATAAGGAGAAAGGAAAGAAGAAATGTTTGTTTTATCGTGCATTACTTTTTCGTCACTTCCAAAGTCTTGAGTGTTGTCGTTAAATTCTTCATAATTTAACTCTTCCAAGCTTTCGCACCCACTATGACTGTATGATTCCCCATTATTATCATATTCACTTTCTACATCTTTGTCCTCCTCGTGTTTATTCCGTTCATCGCGAAAAGCATGGGTATAATCCGTTAATGGCGGTGATATATAGTATTGTTCATTTTCTTCCTCCGCCCCATTAACTCCTTCCTTAGGTTCAGTTAATAAAGCTTCGTTTTCCCTCTCTTTGGCATTGAAGGGTGGAGCTTCTTTCGGGCATAAAAACTTGCGCGTTATGTCGCTCTTTCTCCGCCTACTCCTTATGTTGTTATTGTGGTTGATAGAGGGTAGATTTTCTATAGTAGTTGTTGCTTCAGTGTGTAGCATTAAACTATTTCCCGTGTTTTTGAAGTCATCCCTATTTACGGTCTCCGTTTCCAAATGATTTTCCTTTTTGGCTATCGGCGATCTAGAATCAGAGTCTATATTTTTATGAGTGTTGGTTGTAACATTCATTTCGTTAATAATAATACAATTTATATTTTTGAGGTCATTCGTTTCTAAATGATTTTTCTTTTTGGTAATCGGGAAACTAGAGAATTCAGAGGCTATGTTTTTATGAGGGTCTGTTGTATCATTCATTTCGTTAATAATCCTATAATTGAAGTCATTCTTATTTTCGGTCCCCGCTTCTAAATCTTTTTCATTTTTGGCTATCGGCGAACTAGAGAATTCGGAGTCTACGTTTTTATGAGAGTCCATTGTTTCATTCATTTCATTAATAATCCTACAATTAATATTCTCAAGATTAATAAATTCTTTAATAAAATTTCAACATTTAATTAAGTCAATAAAAAAATTAATAAAAGTTTTAAATTCAGTTTTAAAGTTATTCTTTTTAATATTGTAAACGGAAAAAAAATATCCTTGCAACAGATATTTGTAGTTCAATTTGACCCAATTTCTCTATCCCAAATCTAATCTATTATTTGAGAAACAAAAAATAGAAAAACAAATAATAAAATATTACACGAGCACAACACACCACTAAAAGTACCTAAACTTGTTTGACTATAATCGTGAAAATGAAAGAAAATTAAAAGACAATTATTTTGGCATCATTCCTTGAATCGCTTATTTTCTTTTTTTTGTCAGCAAAATTTCTCGCTAAAAAACGAGTAATTAAATTTTACAAAATATTTAATTATAGAAGGTAAAGAAGAATATCGACATAAGAAGTAAATTAATAACAATTAAGTTTGAGCTCTAATATTATTCTATATTTTTTAAAAAATTAATTTGTTTTTCGCAAAATTTAGAAGGTAAGCAAAATCAATATATACAATAATAATGCTTATTTATATAAGATATTTTCTTACATTTAATTTTTAATTACATTTTAAGTATATAATCAAAGCTTTAAAAAATTCATACTTTTTTTTTATTTGTATTTTGGTCTTTATTAGGGGGGGGGGGGTTAATCGATCTCCATATTGTTATAATTTAACAGGCGCGTCATAGGGAATCGAAGTTTAAATACAAAATTTTTCCATCCTGAGTATGTAATATTTTTGGAATAAAAATTGAAACATTGATAACGCATTGAGAAATGTAATGAAAATTATGTGATTTTTATGGAATTTTGTTAAAAAACATTCATTTTTGCATAAATATATCTATGGAATATGAATAAGAATTCCTATACCTTAAGAATACCTGAGTATTTTTGTTTTAAAAAAAATAATATATAAAAATATAACAAAAAAAAATTAAAAAAATTTTAAAACCACAAACCGAAAAAAAAATTAAATTTTTATTATTTATTTATTTTTGTTATTTTATGAGCTTCTTTTCATTTTCATGATTGTAAATAATATTTTTTAAAAAACGAAAACAAAAAAAACTGATTTTGAATTAAAATTATGTGAAAATAACATTTATATGAGGAAGATTATAATTTTATTAATATAATAAATATTATAGTGAAACCTCCAAAAGTGACCAATTCTTTAACTGAGCCTGACCACGTTAGCTCAATCCTAGCTAATAAAAGGGATTTTTTTTCAAAAATTAAACATGTTCTATAACTTATCTATACCTGAAAAAATCTTGTACTATTTTTTAACGCTCATTTTTGTACAAGCAAGAATTAGCTGAAACAAGAAGTGTTAAAAAATTTTTTTTAGCTAAAAAGGAATAGTATGTATAGACAAAAAGCTAGGGCATATTCACTACAATAGTAGATTTTTTATGAAAATAAACTCGACCATTTTTTTTGGTAAAAAATATATTATTTTTCAATTCTTTTGTCTAATCATTTATTTGTTATTTTTTTATATAGATACGTATATTATTTTTCAGTGGTCAAAATATAAATGTCCCCTAGGGAACTTAAATTTTTTTTTTTACAAAAGCAGGACAAATAAATAAATTAGAAATATATTATTTTAATGACTATTTTTTTTGTATTGGGGAGAGAGGTAATGTCAAAATCAAAAAGTAGTTATTTTGGTCAAAATTATTAATACATTTACTCTGATGGCTTTATTTATTATTTAAAAAAATTATAAAATAATTATAGGCTTATATTTGTTAGCGTCAATGTGTTTTTCAGTTGAGTGAGATCCGACTTTAGTGGAAATGTATTCCAGCATGTTTAGAATACTTACTGTATGAATTTCAGAAATTTTGCAGTAAACTTTTTAGTCATTTAAAATTAATAAAAACATATATGGAAAAACCAATATACATTGTATTAAGTTCAAAGGAAAATTTTCTAAAAATCACAGAGTAAGATTTCTATGAAATACATTTCCAGCAAAATAATAATTTCATCAAATTTAAAAAACGTGCTCAAATTTTTTTATTTTTTACTTAAGTAAATTAAATAATTTTTTTTGAAATATTGTTTAAAAAAACTTTTTATAAGCCTGCTAGTAGTACCATTTGCATAGCCCGTCTTGATTTTTTTTGGCCGACCTGTGTTTTATATTTTCACGCCCGACCCGGATTTTTTTTAAATTTATTAGAATTAGTTATAATTTTTATAGCCAATGATGGCGATTTAAAATGTTTGGTTTTAAAATATAAGACCCGGCCCGTTCTTATTTTCAAGCTCACCCGGGTAAAATTTAATTTAGGCCTGGCCCGGGTATATTTCAAATAATTAAAATACGATACGGCCCAACCCAGGCTTAGGGTCGGGCATGCAGGTCCCTGCCTTTTCATTTTTGAAAACCAATTTAATTTTTGAGGAGGTGAATTAAGTTTAAAAAAATATGTTTCTGTTTATATAATACAATACAAGCCTAGAAATGCTTCAAATACTTGGTTCTAGTAAATTTTACAATTCACAAACTCCAAAAAATAAAACTTCCCTATAAAGTGACCATGAGATGGTTTACAATTTCCTTTAAAAAACTTTTAACAATGTATTAATACAACTCCCCCCCCCCTTACCCTCAATTACTCTTTATGTAATACCATCTTGCGAATTTATTTATTATTTGAAAAAAATCAATTTTTCTCTTTTTATAGGAGGGCTATTTAATATTCTTCATCATTCATATTAAAAACAATTGTGGTCATATAGCGTTATCGATTTTAAAAAAATTATACCCCCCCCCCTCCAATTTTTTACTTTAAATCCTTCTATTTATTGATTTTTCTCATTTTTTTTTAGAAATTGTCTGTAACGCATCGAACAAAATATTTTAAAAAAAAACAAAATAAATAATATTTGAAATTATTTGCGAATAAAGAAAAAATCATTTTAATGACAAAATGTGTATTTTATTAATTTTATACCCTTATCGATATATCATCCTTTTAAAATGGTGAACAGTATAGCTTTTTAAAAAGTACTTACTTGTAGGATCAGGGTTGCACACATAAATTTTCTCTAGGGTGGTGCAAAAAAAAATCATTATTAAAATATAAAATATTTTCGTTAAAAAATTTTTTCGTTAAAAAATTTGTAAAAAAATTATTTTTATTATAATTATAGACCTACAGCCCGGGTACATGGGCCGGGCCTTACTTTAATTTTTTTAAATTTACCCGGGCCGGGCCTGAAAATTTTTTTAAAAAATATATCCGGACCGGACCTTATATTTTAAAACCAAATATTTGAAATGGTAATAGGAAAAAAACCCCGGAAACCCCCAAAAAAAATTCAAAAAAAAGAAAATCGTTATTTTTAAAAATTTTTTTCTCTTCAATTTTTCTTAAATTTTTTTCTCAATTTATTATTTTCTTCCCATTTTTGCTTTAAATCTTTGTTAATCTTTATTTTTCTGATCTTTTCTAAATTTTTTTCATCTCAATTTTTTTAGTATAACCTAGTAATAATTAATATTGATAAATAATTTTATAATCGAATGCCACAATCATTAACAGCTATTAAATTTAAAAAAAAACATAAAATACTTACGAAAAAATATTCGAAGTAATAATGTCTTAATGTCAAGAACGGGATTTATTTCCTAATCCATTATATATATACAAGGATTTCGAAAAGTCTGCTATGAGCGCGGTTAAAACTGTCATTGGTATGATTATTAATATTTATTTTTTCAATTAGGGGATCACCATTTGTGTCAAAGTACCCATAGAAAAATTCAAAAGCTAGGTCTGGAAAGCCAATACAGAACCGACGAAGCCCTAAGCTTCTTTTGTGTCATGACGGACTGCTTAGAATTTGTTCCTTTATGTGATATGGGCAATGCAATGGCATTCCTTAGATCGGTTACTCCGAGCAATGGTAAGGATATTCTTGAATATTTCGATAAAAATTACACCAATGGAGTATCAAGGGAGGTCACAAGAAGCAATTCTCAATCCCAGACAGGTCGAATTGAGCCTCGATTTCCTCCAGAAACTTGGAACGTGAATCAGAGCACTCTATCCAACGAATAACTCATAAATAATCAATGCGAAGGTTCGAATCATCGTTTTTCTAATCTGGTTGGGAATAAACACCCATTAATCTGGGTATTGATTAAAAAATGAAATGCGGTGGCTGCCGATCAAACTAAACTTGAACGATGGCGTGTATGTAGTTGGACACCGAAAACAAAATCGCAGTGCCTAAACAAGAAAAGATGCCGATGTTCAAATTGGTAATGGGAAAAAATATCCCAGTAAAATAACCCATACTTATTTTCGTAAAAAAATTTTCTATAGTATTAAATACAATATCGATCCTTAATTACTATATTAAGTAAACTATATTTGACAAAATTTGCAATAAGATCTGTTTATTTTATTAATAAATCATTATTATGTATATAATTTATTATTAAAGTATATTTTTATAATATTTTTTTCTAAAATACTAATTTGTCTATACCTTATATAAATCCAAATAAAAACATACCGCTATTATTAGATCTTAAGTAAATTCGAAAAAAAATTTCGGGTTTTTTTTCCGGGGGTTTTTTTCCAGGATTTATTTGAAATCGCTATTATTAGCTTTAAATATCAAAAATAAATATAATATATTTTAAAAAAATCCGGGCCAGCCGAAAATAATTTTTGAAAAAAAAATCCGGACCGGGCCGTATAAATATTTTTATATAAAAAAGTGACAAACCAAAATTATTTTTATAAAAATGTAACATAGCCAAAGTGCCTAGAATACATTGATTTAGCCTCTAACAAAATTGGTGGGGAAAACCCCGCCTAGTAATAACTCCCATCCTCCCTTATCAAAATCCTGCTACTCTTTATGTAATATAGCAAAGGTGTTTCGATTTTGCTGGGGGGGGGGGGTGAGTACTATTCAAAACATTTCCATATTTATTAATTTATTTGACTTGCAAAAAATTAATAAAATAACATTTATATATACCTATCAATTTTTACAAGTTAAATAATTTTAATTATCGAAATGTTTTAAATTAAATCTGCACGACCCTGTAGATTGGTTTTCCCCCATAAATTGCTGGATGTTTTTAGGTTAACTTATTGCATGCTTTTGGCTAAATTAGACTTTTATAAAATTTTTAGTTATAAAATTGGGTTTTTTCTTAAAATTTTGAATTATGGCCGTTATTTAAAAAAGTGATTAACTTTTACTAATTTTTCTTTCAAATTTTTCTTTACACTGATATACTGTATACAACCTTGAGGGAGAAGTGGGTGTGTAGGGGGAAATTTTTTTATTAACTTAAAATATTATTTGCCAAAGCAGGCAAATTTGCGATGGATGGGAATAAAAAAAATTATGATATTGGCCATGACAGTTTAAAAAAAATGATGCCTGTCCAGTTTTTTTATTTTTTAGACTTGATCCAGATTTAAATAATTTTACCATCTGGGTCTGCTAGCTGATTGCTAATTTTTTAATCAACGGTTTCTTCTTTTTTAAAAAAGGTTCTTAAATGTTTTTAGGCTCAGATTTGTTACGAGTTCTGAAAAATATCTTGAATACAGGTCTATCCAGAACGATGCAAATTTTAAAAAGAATTAATTTATGCTGAATTTTTAAAAGAAAAATCTTAATCAATAAAAGAAACTATTATTAAAATAAATTTCTAAAAAAAATTTTTAATATTCTCCAACTTATTTTTTTAAACATGTATCTTATCGGATATAATAATGTCCAATTTAACTTTAGTATCAACAAGTCACCATAGAAATGTTATCTCACTTTATTTAAAAGATAGTGTATATATTTTTTTGTTACATGTTATATTATATTTAACCTTTAATAATAGATACTTTTTTATCCCAGTTTTTTTTTAAAGTTTGTATTTCATTGA